GGTGGTAGATGCAATTGCTAGATGAAAAATTCCAGATATTTCAGAAATTTTCAAAAAACTAAAAGAAAAGCAAAACAGTGACGATAAGTTTGCAAGTTAACATCCCCTCCGGACCTGCTTTTCACTGTTGCCTCACACAGCTCTAACACCGCTCCATATTCTTTCATTGCATTCATTTTTGATGGAGGAGCATTTTTCGGAACAGCTACCCTACATGGAAGTTCTGCCTGAGCAGCAGCCCATGCTAGACCTTGTCCATGATTGCCGGAAGAGTGGGTAACCTGAACCAGGAAGTACTCAAACACATTAGTAAAATGGATGAGAAGGAAATAGACATTTGCATACCACTCCTTTCACTTTTCCCTCATCTTTAAGTTTTTGTACAGCGTTTAAAGCACCTCGAGCTTTAAAACTTCCCGTTTTTTGTAGGTGCTCACATTTCATGAATACTTTACAACCTGAAACGATCTTAAGTGAGCGGGCAAAAATTCAAAAATATAGGAGCATCGTACCCACATCTTCTAGTAAAGCTATTTCCTAAACATAAAGCGAGTTATGAATACTAACCTGCTATTTGATCTATGCTACCACAGGTAATCACAGGTGTCTTATGAATCCTTCCATGAAATCGTTCAAACGCTTTCTTTACCTCTTCGGCGTTAACCACCATCCCTATAAATGTCATGTTACGGAGATAAACTAAAGGGAAAATCAAAAAAAGAGGATGAACAGCATTAAAAAATTCAAGTCAGAATTTTATCGATAGGCTGACCTTTTTAGTGATATTTCTGATCAACAAGCATAATATAGTTTTGTCAAATGAATATGCATACAAAGTAAACTCCTTTTTGCTGTATAGCCGTTATCTACAACTAGGTAGTCTAAAACTTAGAATTTTTACACTAAAGCTGCTGGGTTGCGGTTGTCTATTATAAGGTTAAACTAATTTTGGTCTGTCATGAGTATAAAAATCATTGTAGAAATCAATTACTAGCTTGCTGCAAATGAGCAAAGAAAATGTAATAGTACGACCAGTCTTCCAACTTAGAACTAAAATTAAAATTTGATTGTCAGAAACAAAAATAACAAACATAGTTGATTATTAAAAAACTTTTGACTGTACCTACTACTACCTG